ATGTTTGAATTCCTCAGCTACAATGGAGCCACCGTCATGCATGAACTGGGCAACTAAGGTAGCAAAAATGTATTTGATGTTGTGCTAGTTGTCAAAATTAATTGCTGATTAGTATCCAAAAAGGAGGGTGAAGTAGTGAAAGGTATTGAAATAGAGGGAAGGAGTTCAAGGAAGTCAAAGGTATTGATGGGGTTATAATGTCATCGTATGACTGTCTAACTTTCATGTCTCCGTTGCACTGTTCATTTTTATTTGTCTTTCTCTTCAAGTGATCACGTGAAAGAAAAAAATAAAATGAGAAAAAAAAAAAAAAAAAAAAAAAAAAAAAAAAAAAAAAGCGGGCACCTGATGATGAGTTTGGCTCGTATTGGTTGGCCGTTAGTAAATAAAAGTGATTATATAGGTACAATTCCATGTTAGGGTAAGGACCTAAACTAAAGGACTCGAAAATAAGCGTGAGTGCTTATAGATAGGTGTGAGAGTAAAACTTTGACTGCCTAAAAGTTTAGCCAAAAAGAGGTTTTATTACCTACTCCAACCAATTGGTTCTGTGTAGACTGAAAAAAGATTATATAATGCAAAAAATTCCTAGCGAACAAAGGAATGTTTTTTTTGGGAAAAAACAGAAGAAGAAAATACTTCCCTCCTTATCATGCCAATAGCAATGTGACATGTGTACAAAAGTTTTTATTTTTGTGTTTTTGATGAATTATTTTTGTATACGTTTCAAACTGTGATTCACAGTACCTCTTTAGAGCAGTTCCAGCGGGTTGCCCTTGCCAGGGCAGGAGGGGGCCCAAGCCCCAAATTTGTCTTCCAGTGGGCTGAAGTTGCCAGGGGAGCTGCTGGGGTCCACGAAACTAGGCCAACCCTTAGGCCAAACAAGCACGTGCTCTAGCCTGGATTTACTGACGTCAACAACAACAAAAAATTTTAAAAATTGAAAAAACTACAAAAAAGACAAAAAAAATTTAGAATTTTTTAAAAATAAATACTTAGTCATATTCTTCACTTCCCACACCAAAACTCTATAAAAATTCATCTCCTCATATCTTATATGAATAGTGGTTAATATGGCAATGGGTGGAAACATCACAACCTTCTGCAAGGGCTGCCACTATTTACATGAATAGTAACAACCCTTGCCTTGCCCTTGCCTTTTGCCATGACAAATGGGTGGAAGTGCTCTTACCGAGAAGAGAAAGAGGCAAACAATATCCAAAAAAGAAAAGGTTTTTCTTGGCAATGATGGGCTGGGCCTTGAATTTGAGATCGATTGGTCACTGTGGTTAGGGCTACTACTCATATATAGTGCCGTCCAAATTTATGATGTGGGCCGATGAGGTCCCTTTTGTGTTGTTTCCCAACAAAAGTAGAATTATATTATCTAAATCTAAAAATAAACATACCAAATATTTAGCAAGAGTTAATGCCTCTCTATTTTATCTAGTGTTTTGATTTTAATCCAAATTTATGTAGATTACTTTATTAAAAAAAATTAAAAATATCATAATTGTTTTGTGAATAAATACAATAAAATGTGGTGGTGAGTGGAGCTTGCTTTGCAGTCTCTCATCTTTGGCAATGGCACATCTCATCTCATGCTGTTACAAAAGAGGGCACATGACATGACCTTATCCAGAAGAGGCCAGCATCACCTCACATAACTTTATTGCAAAGATTTGAATGGATAGAATTTGTTAATTAGCTCACCAACTAATGTACGGATATATGTTGTCAAACTCTTACATTCAATGAGTCTGCCACCAAAATACAGAGGTGGCCCTAAGAGCACTTCCACTAGTTAGTCTCTTGCCATGGCAAGGGGAGCCCTAGGGCAGTTACTATTCATGTGAATAGTGGCTGCCCTACCCCCTTTAGCAAAGTGTGTTTCCAATAGTTTAGGCTTGCCATGGCAAATACTATTCATTTTTTTGTTTTTTTTACAACTTTGTTTACTTAAACAATTAATTTGGATAATTATTTCGGATGAGATTTTTGGGTTCCTCCATATGAAAAATCATTTTCTCAAGATTTTTAGCGGAGGTGCAATATTGACTAAGTATGAAAAATGGTTTTTCGGAATAATCATTTTCTCAAGATAATTTTTGGCGGCTTTTATTCTTTACACATCAAATAAGAAAACTTGATTTTATGGGATTTTAATATGAAGTATATATTCACTTAATGAGCCATCATTTTTAGCATAAATCGTATTTTGCACTAAAACCGATTTTTCATATTTTTATTTGGTGGGAATTTGATTTTCTAGTATTTTTATTTGAATCCAAATGGGGAGTACTTCCTTATTTACATTGTAAACTTAAGTAAATGAAGTAATTTTTTTCAATTTTTTATTACAAAAATATTGGCTGCTGGTATTAAAAGTGAAGAGTATTGGTTGGTATTTATAGAAAAAAATTTCAGTATTTTTTGGGTATTTTATACATTTTTTTTATTGGGCAAAGGGAGCACTGTAGCGCGCTGACGTCAGATTGCCCTCGGGCCAGCCCAGGTAGCTGGGCCCCACTCTTTGCCCTGGCAGATCTTTGCTGTTGGAAACCCCATTTTGGGTTTGCCCCCCCCCCCCCCCCCCAACCCCCCTCCCGGCCCTTTGCCCTTTGGAAATGCTCTAAGGTTTTAGACGCTTAGGAGGACTATAAAAATGTAACACTCTATGTATTATGTGATTTGTGAATTGGCACTTTGTGGCTAAAACAAACTTTGTATTTCGTATAATATGATGAGTTTGAACACACACATATATATATATGTGTGTGTATATATAAATATATATATATATGTTGTCCATAAAATTCTTATCAACTATAGTGAATAAGGATATGGGCATTGAGTACCTGCTGAGCACCAGTTTATTTTGGCTATAATTCTAATAAGGTTTTCATCCTCACCATCTGATGCAGGAGCACATGGGTCGATCAAGATAGACATTTATCATTTAATTAGTTATTTCATGATATATTGTTATTTTCTTATTTAGGTAGTTTTAGGATATCTTTTATTATTTATGTGTGATTTTATAATTAATTAGTTTACTTTTGGACCAAGCAGTCTTGGAGCCCAAGTTTTGTAAAGCCTATAAATGAGGCTATTGTAATAGTTGTAGGGATGGAATATTGATGATTAATGAAATAGTTTATTTGTGGCATGGATTTGCTACGATATATGTGAGTTTGCACTAGCCCTAGATTTCGGTGCTCGTGTATGTGGTTGATGACCTGTGTCCTGATCCCGATCCCCATCATCATCACTGCCACAACTATTCAGTACTCATTATTTTGGCTACAACTCTAATAAGGTTTTCACCAAAATGCTTATGTGTGTGTAATAACTATTTTAAAGTACTAATAACAACTCTCATAAGAATACCTATTTTAGGGTAGGCTTTAGGTTCGAGTCTTAGCACTTGTGTAATGTGTGTGAGTTTAACATATTATCGCTCTTCTCAATATGAAAGATCTTTAAAAAGAAAAAAGAAAAAAATAAGAATATATACCAATCTTATATGGAATGGTTGTATATTAAAACTTTCAAGAGGTAAGAAAGTTGCATATACCCTAAAAGAGAGGGAAAAATGGAAAAGAGTGTTTGTGGTGAGATTCGCACATAATTTATCCATTGATATATTGAGGATCAATGAAGAAAAGAAAGGAAATGATAGTATTGTAGTAGTGCCACTTCAACTTAAAATTATTAGTGGAGTAATAAAATAAAAGTTCACCGTTAATTATCACTCTTTCCAAATCCTCATTTGTTAGACTTGCCTTCTCCGGAGTCCATATAAAGGGCTTTTAGTTTAGCACTTGCCCAACGAAGGAGGGATTGGCAGACAGATGCTTGAGGCCATTGCTAAAGCCTCCGAATCTAAACCATTCAAAATGCTATATATGCTTAAGATTGTGAGAGTAATGGCCTTGTGAAAGAGGAAGTTAGGCTTGTGGGTTTATGAAGGAAGTTGAGATTCCATCCCAAAATCAATTGACAATGGGGGGAGTAACCTAACTCCTTATAAGTCATTGCTAAGTTTCTCAACTTTCCAATGTGGGACTCTTTATCTTCACATTCTTACACGCCCCGCACGTGTGGTGAATTTTCAAGCCTAGCACGTGGACAACATATATATATATATATATATATATTGGGTGAAATGGAGCACATGTGGCCGTTGGGCTTTCACACGTGGGCTAACCTGCTCTGATACCATGAAGGAAGTTGAGATTCCACCCCAAAATAAATTGGCAATAGGGGGAGTAACCTAACTCCTTATAAGTCCTTGCTAGGTTTCTCAACTTTCTAATATGAGACTCTTTACCTTCACATTCTCACAATGAAAGATTTCCTCTAGGACTTCATTAAAGAGCTCAATCAAGCTTAGAAATCACAGAAGGTAAAAGAGAGAGTTCGAGAGAGATATTTGACATTGAAGGAATGTTTTTCATTATTTCTCAAAGTAACAGTACCAGCTTATATATATATATATATACATGTAGATCAGTTTAGCTTAATTAACACTAACTAGTTGATTAACTTAACAAACTCCTAACTAACTAGTAATTGTAACTAACATGCCAGCTCACAATATACAACTAACAACACATGGGCATAAGAGCTTTAATCAGGTGGTTTGAGGTGTAGCCTAACATCCCCCCGCAAGCTAATGCTAGGAGAACTCAGCATTAGGTTGTCACAAAGATAAGAGAATTGAGAAGTGTGTAAGCCCTTAGTAAAGATATTCGCAAGTTGATTGCTGCTTGGAATGTGAGATACCACCATATCACCACAAGTGACACGTTCACGAATAAAGTGAAAGTCAATTTCAATGTGCTTCTTGTGTGCATGAAAGATAGGTTTACTAGCAAGAGCTGAAATGTTATCACACCAAACAATAAGGGGTCGATTAAGAAACAAATGGAGATCACAGAGAAGTTGTCGAACCAGGACATCTTAGCTGCAGTAATCGCAAGGGCTTGATATTTTGCTTATGTCGAAGAATGAGACACGGTGCTTTGTTTCTTGGCACACCAAGAAATGGGGTTATTGCATAGAAAAACAACATATCTAGTCGTGGAATGCTTATCATTCACATCACCATCCCAGTCAGCATCAGAATAGGCCTGAAGTTGAACATCATTAGAAGTGAAATGAATCCCATTAGTAAGGGTACCAGCAAGATAACGTAGAACACGCTTCACAGCAGCAAAATGAGGCTCAGTGGGAGTGTGCATAAACTGACAGAGAGTGTTTACTACAAAAGCAATATCAGGTTTGCTAAAAGTTAGATATTAAAGCCTTCCCACCAGACTTCGATAAGGGTAGGATCTGAGAGAGGAACATCATCAAACTTGAGTAATTTTGTAGTAAGTAAGCAAGGAGTAGAACAGGGCTTGCAGTGTGTCATGCCAGCTTTAGCTAGAAGATCAATAACATATTTAGATTGATTCACATGATTACCAGAAGAAGTATATTGCACCTGAAGGCCCAAAAAATAGGTTAATTTGCCAAGGTCTTTCATATCAAACTCACGACCAAGAGCTGTAATAGTTTGCTGAATCAAAAGCATATTGTTCCCAGTCAAGGTAATATCATCTATGTATAAAAGAAGGATGAGAAGATCACTGCCAGATGCTCGAACAAACAAGGATGTATTTGCTAACAAACCCCAGTGTGAGAAGATGAGTGGTGAATCTTTCATTCCAAGCTCGAGGAGCCTGTTTGAGACCATATAAAGATTTCAACAAGCGACAAACATGGTGTGGCTGTTTGGAATCTGTAAAACCAGGTGGCTGTTGCATGTAACCTTCTTTATGAATAATGCCATGAAGAAAAACCTTCTTAACATCCAGTTGCTTAATAGTCCAATGAAATTGAGCAGCTAAAGCAAGTACCAAGTGAACAGTAGAATGCTTGACAACAAGGCTGAATGTTTCATCATAGTCTAAACCAGCCTTCTGATGATATCCCTTAGCAACAAGCCGAGCCTTGTGGCAAGAAATAGATCCATCATCATTCCTTTTTAACTTAAATACCCATTTACAGCCAACTACATTCATAGAAGGTTGATAAGGAACTAGAGTCCAAGTCTTTTGTTTCTCAAGAGCCTGAAACTCTTCAACCATGGCCTGAGTCCATTCAGGAATCTTTGCTGCCTAAGAATAAGTATGAGGCTCCGTCAAAGAAGAAGGAGCACATGATGTCTTGGTAACTAAGAAACCTTTACGAGGTTTAAGTATACCAGACTTGTAACAAGTCTGCAGAGGATGAACATTAGTAGATGGCCCAGACAGATCAACAACAAGATCCACTAATGATGACGATGATGCAGTAGATGAAGATGCTGGAGACTGTGAAAAGTGTTCTTTTGGAATTTGATATTGTACATGCTCAATAGAAGCAGGAGACCGAGAAGATTGTTCACCCTGAAGTTGATCATGTACATGCTCAATAGAACCATTAGTAACAACTATAGGAGAAGAGATAATAGCTTCCCTAGTATCCATAATAGAAACCCCATCCCCTTCTAGTTTAGATTATCGCTTATATTAAAAAATATAATTAGCTTGTATTTATTTATTTTATTTTTCATCAAAGCATAATTTTATTAGATAAACTTCATCAATACAGTTTAAACGTCAACATGACATTTAAATCACCGAACACCAAAAGAACAACAAAACTAACATGCCCAAAGAGGCACAATTAAATCCGACAAAAGTTGCACAAACGACTACATAGCTCACATCACTACAATTAAGCATGATCTCAAGGCAAGCCCACAAAACCCAATATAACAAAAGTCCTAAAGCAACATGTAAATGAACACTACCACCACCACCTGAAGAAGTGTTGTTGTCAAACTGACCGCATCTAGCCTTTAAACATATGCAAAATATGTGACAGATATGGGAAAAACATGGCTTCCATTGATCTAATTGTTAGCGAACAAATGCGACAATTGAACAATCATGGCAAAAAACAATTTGGTAGATTGCAGCTAACTCCTTCAAATGCGATGTAGAGCTAAATTTAGATAAAACGAGAAATTTTAGAGAGATGGTTTTAAGAGAAGATTTTGATAGAGAAATTAGCCAAGATGTGAGATGGGGAACTTCAATATGAGCATGTTTGAGAAGAAATCACCAAGACTTCTTATTCAAAACAAGGGGGCTCAGTTCTTATTTTGAACTTGACAATATTGAAACTAATAATTAACTACAGAAACTAAATTGAAATCAAAGTTAAATTATAGGTCTAACACTACCGTTTTCCTTTTTGTATTTGGTGAAAAATTGGACTCAACTAGTAAGAGCAAATTTTAAAATTCCAACAAGAGTCGAAATCGACCAATATAATTTTTATTTAAAAATTTACCTTTCCACTTGGCACTCATGCATATATTATATGATAATTTCACTCGTGGCTCTCCCCTATAAATACTCGACCCTCACATAATAGATCTAAGATCTGAGGTCAAATCTACCAAACCCTAGCAATGTTGCTACCCGGGTCTTCCTTGTCCATAACCTTGACCTTCCCTATATATTCTCAATCTTCACATAAGAGATCTCAGATATGTAGCATCAACCAAACCCTAGCAGATCTTAAAGTTGAGATAAAATCTACCAATCCTTAGTGCTGCTGCTATATTTTTTTGTTAGTACAAGTGATAATCTAAACTAAAGGGGAAGTAGATTTCTCTCACATACACACAACTAAGATGCTATGCATGGGGTTTCGAATCTGAGGCCTCTTTTTTGTAAGTCAATGCCCTTTTCCACTGAGCTAGACCTGTTGGCTAGTGTCACCGCTACATTAACCTTCCCTATATGTTCTAAATCATAACATGAGAGATCCCATATATGTGGTTAAGTCTATCAAACCCTAGCGTTACCTACAAACTATAATACACAAATTACTTATGCAATTCCGCCTCTCTTGCACACGTAGATTTCCTTAACGGCTCCTAAGAACGGCTTGATACTCTCGCAAATTACAAAATTGCTGAAATAAAAACCAACTCAAATTGATTTCTTGGTATAACCTTGTTAGGTATACCCTCCAAGTATGATGTTAGTGTACAATTAGCAAAGAAACGAATCGCACTAAACCACGCTCACCTTTAAATTTATTCTCTTTTAACCCAAAATAGAGAAAGTTAGGCTAAATTTGGTGTGAAATGTATGTTATAGTCCCTAACTAAATTACCATTTATTACATGTTTATTTCGATATGTGGATGCAACATGTAGTGAAAGGATGGTTGCATGTGCTTTGTCTAAGAGGTTTTGTTTATGATGTTTACGGGATACAAATTGCTTTGGTGTAATCGGTTTCATAGAATGATCACAGGAAAGGAGTTCTCCCATGGGCAAACCATTCACACTGTGTTCGGTGTGAAATTTACGTTTTTGATCTTGAATAAATGAGCCCTCACATCTGAAGGGTAAAGCCAATATAAACAAACACCCCTCAAGATGACATTTTGTCGGCACAGGTAAATTACTTTGGGAGAGGTCTAATTCGACAAATATTTATCGGCATAGACCTTTGCCAAAGAACTTTCGTCAAGACAGGTTTTCTTGCTTTTATTTATATTTAAAAAATATATAATTAGTTTCTTTGCTATAGTTTAATAGTTTAATATATAGAATACTTTACCAGTATAGCTGCGAGGCTATACTCTTTAAAAAGTATAAAATTAGTTTATTTACTTTTTTTTGGCCCCACTTCTTTCATTTAATATATGTAATTAAGTAATATATTAGTATTTTTTTAATTACTTTAATTAGTAATTATATTTTAAATATTGTTTCTTTAGTTAATATTTAAATAATTTACTAATTTTGTAAATTACTTAATAAATAGTAATTAATTATTGGGAGTTTCACTAAAACACCCAAAAGCTGAAATTATAAAAAAACCCAACACCCAAAACCCATCATTACACACACTCAAAATCCATTTATAAATACACCCAAAAAATATACAATTGTTGATTTTGGGGTTGATTTTGGGTGTGTTTCTATGTTTAAATATTGTTTGGGTTTTTTTATAAATACATGTCTAGAATTGGGTTTATTTATAAATTTGTATTAATTATTTTATACGAAGTTAGTTTGGGTGAATCCAAGTCTCGAACCAAAAACCCTAGCTTCCGAACTTGTTCCAAAATATTTCTCAAGCCTCGAACCCTAACCATAAGCCTACTGTGGGCCACTTATGAATTGATTAAGCTTGGATATTCACTTAACTCCACCTAGGATTTTATGATTAGGGTTTCGATCTCAATATACAGTTAGTATGACATTATCAGACTTAACACTATATTTAAGTGCGCTTTGACTTTAACAAGTGGTAGTATAGCCACACAGCTATACTATATAATTTTTTTAAAATTAATTACTATTTATCAAGTAATATAATTTATGAAGTTAATTAAAATATTTAATACTAATTATTCAATAAAGAAATAATAGTTTAAACATAATTAATAATTAAATTAACTAAATAAGGCTAAGATATTATTTAATTACTAAAAAAAAATTTAAAATAAAAATTTATTGACTGGAAGATACTAAGTTTAAATATATAGTTTTAAAAATCTCTCCTGACGAAATACCTTCGGCACAAACCTAACACGATGAAACTTTGCTGGGTTAGACCTACTCTAATGAAATTTGGTTGGCACTGGTAAATTATGTCGAGAGAGGTCTAATCCGGCAAATATTTGTTGACGAACTTTCATCGGGACAAGTTTTCTTGCTCTTTTTTTTATTCTTTTTTTTATTATTTAATTTTTAAAAAATATATATAATTAGTTTCTTTGCTATACACTACAAAAAGAATAGTTTAAAGGTATAGCCACTTGGCAATACTCTTCAAATATTATTTTTAAATAATAATTTAAGAGTCTAGCCAAACGGCTATACGCTATAAATTTATATTTATAAAGTCTAACCGCGCGGCAATACTCTATAAATAGAAAATATAACAGTATAGCCACCCGACTATACCGTTTGTATAAAATATTTTACCAGCATAGCCGAGCGACTATACACTTTAAAAGTATAAAATTAGTTTCTTTACTATTTTTTTGGCCAACTTCTTTAATTTAATACATGTAATTAATATCTTAGTCTTTTTTAATTACTTTAATTAGTAATGAGATTTTAATTATTATTTCTTTAGTTAATATTTAAATATTTTACTAATTTCGTACATTACTTATTAAACAGTAATTAATTATTTTATAAGAAATTAGTTTGGATAAATCAACAATCTTGAACCAAAAACCCTAGCTTCCGAACTTGTTCCAAAATATTTCTCAAGCCTCGAACCTTATCCATAAGCTTACTATGGGGCACTTATGACTCGATTAAGTTTGGATACTCACTTAACTCCACTTAGGGTTTTACGATTAGGGTTTCGATCTCAATGTACGGTTAGTAAGACATAACCGGACCTAACACTATACTTGAGTGTGCCTTGATGTTGAGTTTCACAAGTGGTAGTGTAGCCTCACCACTATACTCTATAATTTTTTTTTAAATTGATTACTATTTATCAAGTAATATAATTTATGAAGTTAATTAAAATATTTAATACAAATTATTCAATAAATAAATAATAATTAAAACATAATTACTAATGAAATTAACTAAATAAAGCTAAGATATTATTTAATTATTAAAAACAAAATTTTTTTTAAAAAAATTATTGACTTAAAGATACTAAGTTATATATATATATATATTAAAAATCTTTCCTGTCGAAATACCGTTGGTACAAACCTAACCCGGCGAAACTTTGCCGGGTTAGAGCTTCTTCGATGAACTTTCGTCAGCACTGGTAAATTATGTCGAGAGAGGTCTAATAAGGCAAATATTTGCTGGCATAGACATTTGCCGACGAACTTTCGTCAAGACAGGTTTTCTTGCTATTTTTTATTATTATTTTAAATATTTATATTTTAAAACTGTAATTAGTTTCTTTGCTATACACTACAAAAAGAATAGTTTAACGGTTGTATATTTATAGCAAAAAGCATTCTACAAGCACATTCATACAAAAAGTTTAAAGCTGGTTAACCATTTCTACAATAATTAATGGGTTGCCTTCAAACCTCTCTGGTGGTCAGGATCCAAGCTTGGACTACGGGTTTAAGGGGTTGAGTTAGCTATGGCAGCTTACTGTTCAGAGATTCAGTATCTTGCAAACCCTGTAACCACTCATGTGCAAAGTGCAGAGCAGCACAACCAAGATGTGAACTCATTGGGTTTAATTTCATCAACAAAAACAGCTGAAGCAGTTGAAGTCTTAAAGCTAATGGCCTCAAACTATTTGGTTGCACTTTGCCAGGCTATAGACTTGAGAAATTTGGAGGAGAAGTTGAAGAACAGTGTTAAGAATGCAATTAGCCAAGTGTCTAGAAGGGTTCTAACTTTTGGAGTGACTGGGGAGCTTCAGCCGTCTAGGTTTTGTGAGAAAGATTTGCTCGAAGTTATCGACGATGAATATGTTTTTGCCTACATTGATGATCCATGTAGTGCAGGCTCTCTCCTAATGCAGAAACTGAGGCACGTCTGGGTTGATCATGCACTGTCAAACAATGATGACTTGATAAATCCAAATGCTTCAATCTTCTTGAAGATAGGTGCTTTTGAGCAAGAATTGAAGACTCTTTTGCCTAAAGAAGTTGAAGAGGCTAGTTTTATTTTTCATAATGGTTATGCATCCATTCCAAACAGGATCAAGAGCTGCAGGTCCTTTCCATTGTATAAGTTTGTGAGGGAAGAGCTGGGAACTGAGTTTCTAACAGGAGAGAACATCGGGCCACCAGGAGAGGACTGTGACAAAGTGTTTTCGGCAATTTGCGACCGTAAGGTCATCGATCCACTCCTGCATTGTCTTGAGGAATGGGATGGCGGTCCTCTTCCAATATGTTAAGAACTCCCGCCCTGTTAGAATGTCCAGACATCTTTTTATCACTCTTTTAAGATGAATAAATAAGTGCTCAGTTAGTATTTGTTGTTTCTTTTGCAATGCGTTTTTGGAGCACCATATAGGAAATGTTACCAGCCCTCTCATTTCGCAATTTCCTAATATTTCACAATTTCAGGGTTTTTTAAGTACCCATGGCGCCAATGGGATCAACCCAGTGAAAAAGGGTATTGACTTGCAGACAAGAGGTCTCATATTCGAATTCCCATGACATCACTTGTACTAAAAAAACAAGTACACATGGAAATTTCATTCACCAGCAAATCTTTATAGCTAGAAAAGTGCTAAATGCGGTTTATAATTACATCAGAAAATTAGCAAGGAGTTGTTTCTTGACATTTGCCAGCATCGAGGCAGACAACGCACAACCGAACATGACTTTTTTCCCCTTTAGTTCATATATTTTTCTTTTTGTGCTTTTGAACGCCAATCATTCTGGAAATTGCATGCTCTGATAGTTACAAGGGCAACGTCCAAGTCGTGGCAAAACATACGAGTACGAACAAAAGAATTTGAATTTACATTACAATAGTTAGAACATAAGACATCTAATAATATACACCTAGAAAGTCCTAACAGCAAGGAGAGCATTACAACTGCTGCTTCTCCTAGGCCATGTCACAACCCCACTCCATAACTCAGAGCAGCAATGACACATTGTAAAACGATGTTAAAAAAATTGAGAACCCAAATCTTGTAACTGGTTAGTCATCATCCGATAAACAAACTATGTCAGTGGATCCACTTGTATGTACTGGGTTTACACACCCACCACTCGTATTAGGGGTTTCAGAAAGGCTCGACTGGTGGTTCGAGACCAAATTTGGTTGTGAGGGCAAACTACCTGGTGGATTTGCACCAGCCCGACTGTTCATATTCATAAGCAACCCCAATGCAGATAAACTACGAAGAGCTGCCAAATCTCCTCCCGCACTTTCAGGATGGTGGGCCCTATTATGAGGAACAGATTGCTGTGTGGGGGGTGGTAGTCGTGGAATATGAGTAAAAGAAGATGTTGCAAGGAGGTTGCTATGTAACTGCTGGTTTGACATGGATGTTGAAGGTCTAAAAGGTTGAAGATGCGGGGCTGGAGCACGAATCTCACCTGCACCTTGGGGGATTCCTGGGGAAGAGATGGAACTGATGTGGGGGGGTCTTGTTGGAATGCTCGGCAAAAGAGCAGGTGCAAGAGGAACAGTCTGCATAGGTGGAGCTGTACAATTTGGATTGGGATAAAGGTGCAGGAGCGGTTGTCTGCGGGCTGGGTAATGGTGCAATAGAAGTCTGCAGGCCAACTGCAGGAGTGCTGGCCAAAGATGAACTGGCAACGGGAGAATATCTTTGTGCATCTTGCATAGATAGATGGACCAGCTGCTGGGAGAAACTGGTAATCCCATCTGCCAGGGAAATAAGAGGATCTTAAGAGCAATGACAAACAAACACACAAAGAAATCAATGATGCATAAATGCACAAGTTGCGATAAGTGAGATATAGGATACATAGTGTATTGATGAGCTGTGTGCCGTGAGACTATAAAAGGCATGAGATCAAGACATGCAGACATGTTTTAAATTTACAACAGATTCTATACCATCAAAATCAGATTCAAACAATAAAATCTACTTGGTTTGGTTCAAATCTTGAAACTAAATATATAAACAAGATGAATTTTCTCTCATCTCTCACCCCACGCCCACCTTTTCTTTTCTGTCTGTTCTCCCTTGTTGGAGAGTGGATTGCATGTGTGAATTTTTCTATGCAAAGGAAGAGGATCCTTTTTTATTAATCCTTCACCTTAATCCTCATTGATTGTTCAACTAACATGCCCTTTTCTTCTTTTTGTACTTTTCCCTATTCGAAGGACTTTAATGATGGGACTATCTTACATTCAGAGCCAAGCTATCCCTGGGTAAAAAATCTTCATGGACTATAGCTTTGCACTTCCTCCAAGCAGCTTACAGAATCTGAAGCTTTGAGTTTTACATCTAAAATCTTTTTCACCCCCCTTAACTTTGAATGGTCGAAACCAGGGTTGTTTATCAAAGAACTTTGACAATATCCAAAAAGCCTGTGGGTACCCTATTGGTAGTGCAAAAGATCCAGTTTCTACTTATCCTCTCATCCCCAATTTTCCTGTATATACCAAAGCCGACTGCCTACGCTCTAATACTTGAATTTATTGAACACTTTGCTTGTACATATATTAATTGTTGAACATTTTGTTTCATTACTTCAAATCTTTACACTCTAATTAGATGAAACTAATATGTTATGTATTCTGCAAAACAAAATCCGAAGAAGAGCCCAATGATGATCCTTCTCATTGAATATGAATGAAAAAATAAAACTCAAAGTTGCAACTAAGAAGTGTCACACCTTGCTGTGCTCCAGATGCACCTGATGCCCTAAGATCCATGCATTTAGACCTGAAAGCCTCGGCCAAAATCTTATTCATCAAAACTTTGTTGTGAATTGAATCCAATTCCTTCTTTTTAAGGAGAAATTCCGCCTCAATCTCCTGAAATCTTATCTCATACTTTCGACGAATTTCAGCAACAGCCTCCTCTATCTCCTTGTCGCAATCAGTTTTCAGGCGCAGCTTCTGTTCAGGACAAAGATGACCTTAGTAGAATTTTTGCTTTTAAAAGTAAATACACTTAAAGATACTAAATTCAAAACTAACCGTATCTTCATGAGACTTAACGATATGATCTGTTTGTTTATTTAATCTTTCCAATTCATTTTGAAGCGGGTCATGGTATACAGGCAGAGGCGTTCGAGATGCTCCCTGTGGTGCAGCATTTATAGGACGACTATTAAGTGCAGAACTAACAGGTGTAGTTCTTGTGTCTGAAAACGGCATTCCAAATCCGCCAGTAGACCATGCCACAGACCGAGAAACGGTGTGATTTGAAAGATCAAGAAGGTTTTCAACGAGTGGCATTGGAGCATGAGCACCCTGGTTAAAGGTCCGGTTTTCAGGACTTGGCTGAATTTCAACTCCACCAGCTGAAGATAACTCAGGAGCACTATGATCAGGTGTATTAGAGGATGGTAACAGCGGCTGTTGTACTACAGGCTCAATGTCCGGCATTTCATGATTAGACAGATTGGATGAAACTACCGGAACAGATTCAGGTGAGAGATTTTCAATTGGTTGGCAAGTATTCTGCTTTTCCCTGGCTTCTGCATCTCCTTCTTGTACGGCAGTTGATGTTTCTAACAGAGTACCTTTGTCTTGTTGTGCCTGGACAGGTATGAATTTGTCAGCAAGAGAACGACTAAATCACTGTTCTCATTCTGATTTTATTTTCTTGTAGAATAAATTTATAACAATCTTGAATCCTAACATGAAGAAAGAATCAAGCCAAAACAATATCATAAAGTAGTGAACCACTTATATTATATGCTGTGGTGCACAGTAACAATACATAAAAAATCTTACAAATCTAACCTCGTCATAATTCTCAGGATAGTAAAAAATTGAAATAGTGCAGAAAAGGTCCTCAGACAAAGCACAGTCATCTTTGTAGAATGAGAATAATGATTAAAACAACATCACTACTATATAGATTGACAATTTCCAACAATCAAATACCTGTTCTTGTGTCACTGAACCACCAGGAGCCAGGGCCACAGGCTGCAATCCAGGTGAATTTACCAGGGGCATTTCTTGATACGAGCTTCTATTGACTGCAGTATCAACTCTATTCTGCTGGTAGACCTCTGTTGCACTGTCAGATGCCATAACACACCCTTCACTGTTCTCTTTTTCAGTGGCTTTTTCAGAGATTTTCTCATCAGATGGTGGATTCACAGAGGCAAGATTCCCTGGTCCATCATCTGAACGAACAGTCTGCAGCACTGCCAAATCAACCTCTTTATCAGGCAAGGTTACTGTCACTACATGGACTTGCTCTTCAGATGAAGGTACGCACACAGGCACAACATTTTGGGAACAATGACTTGAACTGACAGTCTCATGTTCTGTGGAATTTTCATGGATATCTTCTCCAGATGAAGGTGGATGCACAGTGACAAGATTTGCTATGCCATCATTCGAACTGACAGTCTCAAGCACTCCCAGTTCAACCTCTTTATCTGGTGTGGTTACCTTCACTACACGGATTTCTTCTTCTGATGAAGGTGGACTCACAGAGACAACGTTATGCAAATCATGACTGGAACTGACAGTCTCAAGCACTCCTAATTCGATCTCTTTATCTGGCATAGCTCCCTTCACTACATGGATTTGTTCAGATGAAGGTGCCCTAACAGAAACAACATTTTGCAAACCACGAAGTGAACTGACAGTCTCATGCAATCCCACTGGAGCCTCTCTCTCAGGCACGCTTAATGTAGCCCCATCAGGATTCCGTTGCACAGAAGACAGATTCAAGGGATGGGAACCATGTTGACCATCGGTTGAACAGAGAGTTTCGGGAACTTCCACTCTGACCTCCCCATCAGAAATGGGTAATGTGTCAGCATTGTGGTTCCATTCTTCAAACGAAGGAAGACTGGAGGTGACAACTTTCTGTGAATCAGAGCAGGCAACTTCTTGAACTTCAAGCAGAAAATCCCCATTGGCACAATCAGTAATTCCGGCTTTGGGACAAGGATTCACAGACGCAGTGTTCTCTTGATCATCACTAGAAGTTCTATTTAAGGCACCATTTGCACCAAGTGGCCCAGCTGTGGTCATGTCTGTTCTAATGGGACCACTACATGTTTCAGCTTCATCTGGACCACTATCTGGAGTTTGAGACAGTGCTGTCACTCCTCCTGTCATACCATGCACAACACAACCAATATCATGATCTCTTAAAGTGGCAAAATCTTTGCAACCTTCACTAATTCTAAGACATTCACTAGTCCTTGAGCATTCCAACCAAGGCTCAGGTGTATTTGAAGGCAATCTATTTAACAATTCAACACAAGCCCAGGATTGCACTTCCTCTGCCCATCGTTTCCCCATCTCCTTCAACTTATCCTGTGCTTCCTGCTGTGATGCCTCAAGACGCTTAAGACGTAGGTTGGTCTGGTTTTTATTTTCTTCAATTTTCTTTTCCAAAATCTTTAGCTTTTCTGTTCTCATTGATGTATTATTTAGGAAACAAGACCGAATAACAACTGATTCTGCTTCTAGATGCGCCTTTTCTTCCTGGCAAGTTCTCAAAACTTCACTTCTCTCTTTGATTTGCTTCTCAATAAGTTTTGTTATTTGCTTCTGGATCTTTTTCTGAATATCTTTAATACTTTTTGAGACATCTTTTTGTGCTAGTTTTTCTTGCTTCATTGACAAGTCTTTAACATCTGATTTGACCTGCTGAAAGTTAGAAGTTGTTGACCGTGAAACCTTTGGATGTGAATTGTTCAAAACATCTGTACTTGATAATTTAGCCAACTTTGGAGATTCTGCAGCCTTAAACATCCCTGTACGGTATAAAAATGTTTTTTTCAGGCACCGCAGCATTGAATAAACATAGTCAGCCTCTTCCTTTTTGCAATTGAAGTTAAGATGCTTCTTTGCAAGTTGAATAGATTCTTTGTGGTCGACTTTCTGCTTCAGAAATGAAGCTGCAGTCCAGCACTGGAATTTATAGATATCAGCAAGTCAGTTAAAAAAAGAAGTTAAAGTAGCATTATAGTATATGCACATGCACCCAGAAAGAAGCATTATAGATATCAGGAGGTGATGTACGCCTAAATTAAAGTGTAACTATTACATATTCAGTGGCAGCTTGTCAGAGTAAAAGGAAATTAACAAATCATCAAAAATCATTTCAGAACCAGAAAGAAATATGATTGTTGAAGGAATGTAAAATTAAAGAAAGCGTGCATGCAAGAACTTCGCAATTCAACATGCCAATAACAAGTAGATTTTATTTCCTTCTTGACATGTGAAAAAGGTTAATAGACTAAAACATGAGTGCATGAAAGAGCAAGACGATTCTAACCAGAGATATCTGAAATGCCTGCAGTATTGTCGCTGGTTCTCTATTAACATGGTGATTACTCATTACGTATTGAAGAAACTTTTCGACCATGACCTTGACAGCATCCTGCATTAGAGGAAGTAGTAACATCAACCAAGATATCATTACAAGAGAGAACCATGTTGTACTGAAACATATTAATGGAATATCGAGTTCATAACAGCAGCACATATTTCATTTACTGACTTGTTTTATTTGACATTTTTTGAGTTGTACTTTCTTGTTTTTACTGGTTTCTTTCCCAGATTGTGGATTCCTTATCCACTCTTTGTAATTAGCTTTCCTTCCTTAATAAACCTATGTTTCTTTTCAAAAAAAAAAAAAAAAAAAAAAAAAAAGAGGCAGATGAACAAAAACAAAAAGCTAATGTTTTTAGCAGGAAAATCAAATTCATACAGAGACTTGTAGGATTCCACATAGTTTTAATATCTCTGGCTTCAAAAGTTGATGAAGACTCTTCTGGGCATCATGTAATTTTCTTCTCTCCTCAGACTCAAACATGCTACTTTCTGGATTTTCTAAGACATTTATATCCACAGACAATACTGCAAAAGCAAAGATTATTTCAGAAACTAAAAGTGGGAATCCAGCAAATCTACAACACCCTGACATTGCACCAAGACAGAACTCCTGGGGAAATGCCATGAGAAAAACAAAATAATCCACAATATCAGCTAGCCATTTACCTTCCTTGCATCCAGGAACTGATTTCCCCTCTGATCCAGGCTTCGGATAGGGTGCATCGTCATTACCATTTACCACCTTCTTGCGCTTTTTTACAACTTCATCACTACCAACTTCTGGTTTCTTTGATAACTCATCAAGATGTTGTGCCCGTTTCCGGTTCCTCTGAGACAAACCAGAACAATATTTCCACGGAGGATGCTTTCCTACCAACAGTTTTGTCCAAAAATTAAGGGGCTGCCCTTCACCAGTATGTTGACTTTTCAGCTCATTAAGCAATGGAACCTCTGCACTGTAAGCTCCTCCAGTTTGTTGAACTTTTGAAATGATAGAGAAATCGCATAAGACATTGTTGTTGCCATCCCGAGGAAGTATGGACAAGAACTCCCGGATGACATCATTCAGAAGTGATTCCTCAGGCAAGATATTTGCAGTGGAGGCTGGGGTGTTGCAGCAGTGGAACTCATCTAATTTATCAAATTGGTAAGGTGCCCCCCACAGAAGCATACTACTGCTTATATTCTGTACATTGCTATCATGAATCTTCCCCTGCTTTGCACGAACTAGAAGTTTCTCCTCCACGGTACACGTTGAATATAGACGAAATACTTTTATTTCCTCAAATTGTGAATCAAGTGATATTTTTTGCAGGGCTCTTATATCATTATGTGGATTCCAGTCACTACCAAATATGATTACAGTATCAACTGATGACAGTTTGATGCTGGGAAGACAGGCATGAGCCTCCAATAAGAACACAAATCTACCATTCTCCTTATTGTTGAACATGTTCATGGCAACATCTTTCTTAGAACGGAGAACACCAAACTCAACGCGTTCATAGGAATTTTCACCATACCTTTGACGCAGGAAATCATCTAAAATATCTCCAAGAGAATAAGCACTTCCTGAACCACTGATTGACTGGTAATAAAATGAAGGGACAAAAACAAAAAGGGTTAGATTAGAACAGCATCCAAAGGTGCAGATATTGGCAGGACTGGTGGCATGCGACAGAGTGAATACAAGTGATCGAATCCAAAAGCAGAAGCCATATATGTGATTGGCTGCTGGCTGTAGCATCTTAAGGGGTTGTCTTTTGATTGGCTGTTTTGTTTTCTATGTTGTGTGGCCTTGTGTTTGTTTCACTGGCTATTGTTTCTTTCTTTTTGTCTGTGTTCTAAATGTCCTACTTTTTTATCCTTTCAACATTTGAATACAAAATGTTTCTTTATAAAAAAAAAATCAATATCTAAAGAAATATCGACAGTTAAATTTATGAAAATATTCATGAATATTTATATCAATATCAGTGACCGCCACAGAAATTTGTGGTATTGGTTCAAAAGCATAAATTTTTTAAGTGAAACTTCAGAAAATATTACATCAAACCATAATGCTTGTATGTATATTGTAATTATTCTTTTTTTTTAAATGTATATTGTAATTATCAAAAAGAAGGGGATACAATTACTATAACTAAAAACTTATAACACACATGAACATAACATAAAAGTATAAAATGACACGTTTAGCATAAAATATCCTTCCTGTAATATTTGGTACTAAGAGACTTATTTTTCTTGGTAACTTTTCTGCAAAGTATTTAATTTTTTATTTATTTAGTTTTTGTAATTCTTGGAAACCAGTAATTGTTTAGTATCTAGTTTCTACTAGGTTTTCTTTAAGTGGGGTTGTATATATATTTTGCAATAGCCACAAATATTTTTATTTGGAATGTAGTGCGATTTTATGTGGAGTGTAGTACCTAAAAAATATGTGTCGTGTCATCTAAAATAACCCCAAACCAAAAGTTACCAAACTCGCAGTGGTTTTGTTTTGTAGGATAGATATGTAGTTAATTGATCATATCGGATAGGATTATATGGAAACTGTGATAGTTTGTATCATGGATCCACCATTGTCCACATTGTCCCTAATATGTATAAATATGACGAAATTCTTTTTCCCTTTCTCAGCCACCAAAAAGCATATCAAACAGAAAAACTCTGAAATAGGGAGCTAATCCTCAATCAACAACTTATCTTATTCCACATGTATGGAAATAACCTCCCAAACAAGTGAAGATCAAAACTTTTATATTCTATATATATAACAGAAGATACTAAAACAGCTGTTCTAATAAGAATTATCATAACACTACCAAATCTAGTACCTGGAAAAGGATGAGTACTCTTAAACTTCGATTCTTTATCTCTTTAAGCATCATGTCAAGAAGCCGAAGCTTGCCACTTGCTTTGACTCCTACATCCAAATACTCAACTGCTTGAAGGTCTTTAGTAAGCAAGGTTTGCAAGGGTGGATGCACAATGTAGGGATGATCACAGCACTGTCAACAAATACCATACAAGCAACTTACTTAAAATCCAAGAGGGTGGCCGAGCATGGGGGAAGAAAATATACAACCATTAGGAAGATCATTTCATTTCACTACCCATTACAAACAGTATCTTCTGTTGTTTCAAATTATCAAAAACATAGAGGACAGAAAGCATAAGGTTGAAAATACAATAATAACAATAAGAAAACAAACATCCAATTAACTTAATACAAGAGAAAGTTGAAAATAACAGATGAAAACATGTCATTATAGATCTCTTCTAGTTCCAATATCTGTACGTGCTATAACAACAATTTGAAATGACTAAATACACGAAACTAAATTTTCACAAAGATCACTAAATTACTAATAGTAACTTTTAAAGGTGTAAAGTGTTGACCACAATACCGAAGATAGAATCAACGTAAAAGGGATAACTTAACATTTACAACAATGTCCATATCCAGGCCACCACAAATTGTCATGCAATAACATACTGAAGAAAAACAACTGGATGATATAATGGTGTCATCAAACCAAATAAAAACTTTGACAACCTATGACAACATGGGATTCAAAAGTTACAGTAGATTATGAAAAGACACAGATGTCATGTAATCGTTAACCGTCACACTGAGACAAAAGTGCAACCAACCAACCTTCCGAGCAGATAGAACTATATCATGGAGTGCACCAAGTGCTCCAACACGATCTTTTTTTGCTGATGAGAGAATCAATGTGGAGTTCGACAGTAGATTTTCGCAATATTGCTCTAGCTGGACAGTTGATATACATACAGGAACCCAGTACTCAATAAACCTAGAAGAGTCAGGTTTGGGTTTACCAATAATATCTCCATATGCAATATACCTTGAGAACCTCTCCTTTAGTTTAGCAATAATATCACCAGAACTGGTTAGCAAATGATCACCATTTTGTGAATCGCCATGAGAGTCAAGGACAGACAGCAAACTAAGGTACTCAGCAGCACTATTCTCCTGAAATATTTAGCATTGCATAAGTCGACCAGTAGAAAAGATATTCCCAAACAGAAAAATACAATAATAACAAAAAGGAAAACAGAAAAATACCAATAAAGGAGAATAAGGGCCCGTTTGAGAGTGCTTTTGGAAGGGCCAAAATCGCTTTCTAATAACTAAAAGTGCTTCTGACAGCGTTTGGCAGAAAAGTTTGGAGGCGCTTCTGGGTCATAGAAGCACCTACTATGTGCTTCTTCAGGAAGCACTCCCAAGTGTTTTTCCACGAAGCACTTTAATTTTTTTATGAAAATTTTAATTTTTTATAATAAAAGCACTTTTGTTAGAAGAGTTTATGAGTAGAAGTACTTCCTAGAGAAGCAGTCCCAAACGAGCCCTAAAATACAAACCTTAAATATTCCATTGACCAGGAGAAGCCAATTATGCGTACGTAACATCTTAATCTGCACCAGCTGTTTAGAGATTGTAGGGCGCTGGCACTCATCAATTATGATAGTTTCCCATCGTATGCACTCGAACACATTTTTATCCTACACAATAGAGAGAGAATTTAACAACTAAGTCACTATTGTCTAAGTACTATTTTTTTTAAAGAGAGCTAAGCACTCTTACAATCCACTAAAAAATTTCTAATGCTAACGAATCCTACAAGCAGAGAGAGATACCTCAATAATAGCCTCTGGTGAGGTAACAAGTACTTGAAACATCATACAACCACCAGCCTCATCAAAATCTAGTGTCCTAATACTTCTCCGTAAATCTTTATTTCCACTGTAAACCACGACATCGATAGATGGTGCCAAATGGAAGAACTCATTATCCCAACAACAAAGTGTAGGAGGAGTTGAGATGATGAGAAAAGGTCGATGAGCATCAGACTGCAAAGATAGAATAAATGCAACCACCTTCGCGATTCGTTCCTGCAAAAACAAAATTTCTTTACACCAGACCCGCATGAAACTTTACTGGATTTAGTCTTAAAGAAACTCGTTTTTTTCAGTTTTCCCCCTTAAGCACCAGCTTGACCATAATAGGAGAGGTTCAAGCAAATAGTAAATCGATCTAAGGTCTCTAATCAAACATTTTTGAGTAAAAGGTACAATAATATATTTCAGAGGAGAAGAATTAAAGTGGTAAACCTGTTTACCCTCATCATATTTCAAGAAATTATGTGAAAATCCTTCCCTTTCCTTATCCAACTATTTCCTATAAGTTGGAAGGTTAGAGTACCACCTAATACTTGAACAATCGCTCATGGTAGGTTGTTCAATGACTTGAATCAGAGGGGAAAACTCAAGTGTCTTCTTCAAAATGTGTACTATAAAGGAGGGAGTGAATGTCTGATGATTTGTTCCTCTATTTCCCTATTGTATTTTAATTGGTCCCTCTGCTGCCCAACTGCATAGATCTTCTTAGTCAGAGGCGCAAGAATTTTGGTGGGATGAAGAAGGCAAAAGCTTTATGGATTTGAAGTGTGTTAACGGTGGCTTGGGTGATTTTGTTGGCCCCTGTCTCCCCTCCTCTTTTCAAGTCCCACTCTTTTCCCGGTTAACAATGGGGGGACCCTCTTAGTTATGTTAAATAGAGTCCCATCCAAGGGAACAGAACTCTTTAGTATCGAAAAGTAAAGAAACAGGAGTTTAGAAACTATAGTGGGGAGGTGGTTTAGAAACTAAAGTGTTTATAATCACATTTTGCTCTTTGATGGAAAGGGTTGTCTTATTTTCATAGGTATATTGATGAAGTGAACATCTTGTAACCACTGTGATTGTACTCTATTTGCTTAGTAATAAAAAAAATTCTCTAGAAAAAAGAAGAAAAAAGAAACAGATCATCTGTATATGAACATATTTCCAACATCGGATCATAAACTCCACACCAAGATAATCATTGCACCAAAATGCTATGAAACGAACTGTCTAATAGCAGAAAAGTTAATTAAGCTCACCTGATCATAAACAACAGCATTCTCACCCTTGTGCCAGAGCTCACGTAGCTTGTTAACATTGTCTAGACAAGTATTATCAAATCCAGATATTTCTCCAGCTGGCAGTTGGAATAATTTAACTGATGAACACTTTTTACCCTCAAGTATCTGCAGGTAACGCTAGCATTAACAACAGAAAGATCGCATATTAAAAACATGAAAGCAAAACTAAGAAAAAGATTCATCTAAGGATAATTGATCCTTAATCAATTTTATGAAAATGTAGAGAGATAAATCTCTACATACTCTAAATCCGAAAGGACAGTGGAGCCCACACCTGGAACCTTGAAAGATTATAATATCCTTTAAAACACACACGGAGGGCAGGTCCCATTATGATCAATGACAGAAACGCCTCTATCTTTTCAAAAAGAAAAGCCTCTATAACCAAAGAAAAATGATAGAGAAGCCTCCACCAATCAGAGAAGGAAAAGAAATATCTTATACTTCTAATTTATGGACATTCCGTTATGGGTTTCCAACATGCTTAAGACTAGTCAACCAGTAAGTTCCTTTTCAACTTCCACTTAATAATACAAGTTTACGTATTAATTCAAAACAAATAAGATAGATAATGAGATGTTATTGGTAAACAAATATAATGTGGATGAAACTGACACCTTAAACCTACTCATCTAAATAGATATGCATTTTTAAATTAGAAATATGTTTCAAATATTTCTTCATACAAATCATGTCTAAGGCACCTTATCCGTTTCAGGGGAAATAGAAGCCTTCTTTGCCCTCTGACGACGGTTTTCATAAACGCTTATAAGGCCCTGACCCTCAGGTGAATTCAAGAATGCAGCATTCTCTAACTCCCAAGTAGCATCATCATAATCAAGACCATGCCATTTCACAAGCCATTCATAATGGCAAAATAACTTATCACCATTATGCTCCCTAAGATAGTTGTCACGCTGCTTGGGAGACATTAACAATCGTTTTTGTAGCAAGCGACGTGGAACAGTCCACTTTTTCTTCCACCTTGTCACCTGGAGAACATAAATTCACAAAAAGAAATTGCTTAAAATACAAAGAATAGTCATCTTGGCAGTCCTCTTTTATCCATATGCACTCTAAATTGATTTTTTTTTTCTTCAACTTTTTCTACACTCAATGGAGTGCAGAAGGCGAAAATAAGAGTGTTAAAATTTCTACTTACCACTCCCCAACTACAGCGGATGTGCAAACGTAGCTTTTGGTTAATGGTTAAAAGAAAAATAAGTTAAGAAAGCAATTATCTATGATCTGAAGAAAAAGAAATTTGAACCCATGCAAAGGCATCTCAAGCCCATCAAAGAATGTCAGATTCCCTTTTTTGTGGTGTTTCACATTTTCCATTGATAGAAATAACAAATGAAATATAACAAGTATACCAAAACAATATTGAGGAAAAAATGACCTGGTTATTTCGGTTGAATTTGCCCACAAGGGTAGGAGCTTCAAGAAGCACTTTACTTTCTGGTACCCATTGATTGTGAATATGGGCAAGACCTTTGTATTTAACAAAAAACTCCTTCCTCTTTAACAATCCTGAGAAAAAGAAAAGAAAAAGAAAGGAACAGTATTGGTATTAAAAACCCCCATCATCCACAAAATAGTCGCAACAGAGAAATCAAAACTTAAGCAAATAATCCAAAACAGACATGAAGCCAAATTTTCAGAATTTCCACATACCATCAACATCAGATACCTCCACCTCTCTAGCATCCCAGATTGACTCAATTCCCTCTGACACCGAATATATACCAGATTCTATCTTTTTCCTAACACACATGGAACAGTGCCAAACTCCAAGAGGAACAGCATCCATAGGAGGATCTAGACAAGAAAGGTGGTAACTTCTCTTGCATCCTCTTCCATCACAGAACCTGAAGTTGAAAACAAATTGTAAGAACACAAAACACATCATAGAAGCAATGAAATTCCAAGATTAAAGAAAAAATAAATCCATATTGTGAACATGTTCACTCATGTGCAAATACAACTGCATAAAAAGAAGTACATCCATTCATGTGAAACTTACATAGGCCTCATTCCAAAATAAGTCAGATTCAGCAACGGTGAGAGACTTTAGGCTAATTAGTCTGGTGTCTAGCTTATATAAGATTATTGTGATACAATCTCATGCACTCAAGGCGGGCTTTTATGAAAGGGAGGCAGATTTTGGATGCTATGCTTAATGGAAAACTGTAGGATAGGCCGAAAAGCCCCAATGAAAAGGCCTTCCACCGCATGTTAGAGGATCAATTGGCATGTCTGTCTAACTTCAACAAATTCGTAGTCTATGTATTATTCTGTGGTTGCTCTGGTCTTAGCTTTATTTGTATCTGGATGAAGGCGGATGCCTTCTCCACTGATTCTTTGTACCTTGTAATCTGTTTTGGGTTTCATAAAATTTGTTTCTCCTAAAAGAAAGCATAAAATAAATTTTCCATATCATCTACTAGAGACATTTGCAACAATGAAAAGCCAGAAGAAAAGGTTACCCACAGGAGCTTCCCACCAAGAGAACAGATGAGGCATGTATTTTGGTTGCCATTTGTTTGAAGATCTGCAGAAAACTCCTTTTGCTGCATACAAGTGTTAAGGTTTTCAGGAACTCCCATGGTACTATCAGCTATGAGCTCTCCGCTATCCGGATGCAACTTTTCAGAAAAATTACCAAACCCCAGACAAAATCAATAATTGATGTAGGACAAACATAAATGCAAACTAACAGTAGACCAGTGACAAGAAATTTATAAGCACAATCTCCACAACATAACGTATATGAGCCTATGAAATGCTCCATTTGAACCATCTGAAGAGAATCATCTGCTGGAAAATGTACACTAAAGCCTATGAAATGCCAGGGAAAATGTACACTAAATCCTACTTCATAAACCTTCTCTGTGTTTCCATTTACATTTGTTTTCCAACTCAACACTAAAGCCACATTCTACTGTAACATTAAAAATGTAATCAATTAAGTTGAAAGAATATCATTCATATCTGCATTTGTGAGGTATCAGTATGTAACTAAAAATATTCAAGAAAAAACTTATTTAAAACAGATTTACAAACCTTGAATTCTAAAGTTCAAATGAGAATCTTATTATATAAAAAATAATAAATCCAAGTAAGAGAATATATTTCAGACTCAACTCCTCAAAGATCACCCAAAAAGTTCTACAATGTTACCTGCTGTCAAAACTTTCACTGATGAATAACATCGGTTGGATATCTAAAACCTTTATGAACATAACAAATAGATGAGCCTGTTAAGTTTTCTAGAAACCTCAAGAAACCAAACGTGATAACTAATATTCTTATACTGAAAAACGCATGCCAAGGTAGAGACCACCCCCCGCCTCATATTGAAAACATAAGGTAGAGTACCTAACCTAATATTCTTATATTGAAAAACATATGCTAAGGTAGAGTAGCACCCCTCGCTTCATAATTTCTCACATGTCCTCTGCTAACTTACAACCCACAAAAAAGTTACCATAACAGCGATACTAATTACTTTATCCAATATATAATGTTTCAAAAAGTTCTGACATGGCCTACTGCCAGTATCTTACACCAGCAACTAATAAAAGATTCTTTACAATCCATATCCACAAGATGATACGAACTATAGAACCACCTCCCCACAATGAAATGAGACATATAACCAGGAAAAAGAGATATCGAAATCAAAGCTGCAGTACCATAATATATGCACTGGAAAGCAACATAAAAAGTGACAGACCATATCGAGAAAAATATTCCATCTTTGAGAGAAACAAACTTGAAGAAAAGTATAGCTGGAAACAACGGATTTGGAAAGCACTAAAGATGGGGGAAGGTCAACCAACCTCAGTTACAGAGGCACCACATAACTCCTGATTTAATTTTGTGCTGCAAGAGCAAAACTCCAGATTCATCGGATCATTTTCTACCCTGAAAATATCATATGAGAAACAGAGGGGGAAAAAGGAAAGTTAGAATGTTATAAGATTCCCATGATTGCTCAACATTGACAAATCTAAGACAATAGATAAGTACACATCCTTGAGCTCTTCCATCATGGCATTATAGTACACATCCCAAAATGTACCAAAGGGAGGAACAAACCCAAGAACTTAAGCATTTTGTAGCAAATATTGAAAAGGGAAGAGTGAAAACACAATATAGCAAGAGAAATTCCATTTATAGAATATGTGCTGTCTCCCTCTCAAATCTTTCTCATGAATCCCAGATTTCTGCCATATCTCTGTGGGAAATTTGGGATGCCAGTTGGAAAGGGATGGTGGAGTCTACATAATGGGCTCAAGTGTTAAGAAGTTTTTTTGTTGTTTGATCATTTTTAAGGAGTTTTACTCAAACTACACTTTTTATGTGGGGATCTGTTATTCGCACTAGGAAAAAGTCATCATGCACTCCATTATAAAATCACGAGGGAGAAATTGCACTTACATGATTGCAGCGTGACTATTTTGGAGTGCCAATAACAGTTCCCTTTATCTAAGTTATAAATTCAACAATAACCAAACAATATTTTTAACACTGTTAGGTGTTTTTGTCATGTCATTGATTCAGCTAAGTTTGTTAGTTGACTTCTGCCTAAAGGAGGTTATGAGCAACCATGTCTAAACTTCAAGTAGCTGGACTTCAAATTCCAGAAATAAGGATTCTAAAGTGAAAATGCATAAAACTTTAGGGGATGCAGGTGCAACTAACACATAAAACAATTTGTTGTTAAAAAGTTTATAAAAAGTGGAAGATGCTAAGTGTAATATGTGAAAGAGTGTATTCACACTCCGGACCTTCAAGTAGACTAACACAAACTAAATTAATTCAATGGTTGATGTAAATTCTTTTGGAAACCACTACCAACAGAAAAGGAGATGACAAGACTTCTTTATTGTGAATAGCAATACCTTTGTCGCTTAAAACATGCACCGCACGTCTCAACAGAAACATCTTCTGTGGACCCAGATGGCAACGAAGAGACAGCATCAGCAGTCAAGGTGCAGACATCTTTACTTGCATTAACTGGAGAATCAGAATCCCCATCTGCCACGTTCCTTTTCCTCTTTGAAGGTATGACCCTGTGACCAATTTTTGAGGCAATGCAGACATCATGTAACCTTTCATTGAACGTAGAACATGTCAACTCTGGCATCTTCAACTTTTCCGTTGCAGAGCATTCTACATGTACCCTTTCATTGAACGTAGAACATGTCAACTCTGGCATCTTCAACTTTTCCATTGCAGAGCATTCTACATGTACCCTTTCAGGTGCATCATTGAGCTCTTCCATCATGGCATTATAAGATGATGACAGTGGGCGTTGATCACGAATTTCTAAGCCATCACCATCTTTGAACTCAGAAGCTTCCTCCAAGCAGCTAGGCCTAGGGCTTGAATGGGACAAATCCACTCCGGGATTATCTTCCCATGTTTCTTTTGTTAATTTATTTACACTGTAATCAGACCCCACCAAAGATCCATCATGAAATCTCCCAACAAATTCTTCATTCAGTTCCTCAACGCCTTTACCAAGCCCTTCAACCTCACTTCCACAAGCATTGCTACCTCCCTGAGAGACTTTATTCTGCCTGCTCTGCTTCTCGCTATGATCTTAAATTCAAGAAGAAAAGATAACAATGAAGTGAATAATCTATTCCACTTTGTTTCCAAAATAAATAAATAATAATAATAACAATAATAATGACTTCAAAAGAATGGCTAGGAGCCAACACTCAGTTACCTCGTGCTTGAAGCTTCTTTCTATGTTTCATGAAGAGTGTCTTATAAGCTCGAGCATTTCTTATCTTATTTTTTCCATGACAAGGTCCTACATTCTGTTTCTCACTTTTGCTAACTTCTCTAGTACCCAATGTCAATTCTTTCACACTCTTCTCTTTCTTTTCCGTTTTCCGCTTTGCCATTGATGAACCTGAGCTTTTATCAGATCTTTTAGACCCAGAAGAAGTTGATGAGTGATTCTTGGCTCTATCCGATCTCCTCAAAGGACTTGGAGTCAACTTCTTCTCAAATCTCTCAGATTTCCTCTTGAATAGAGGAGTTTCAGGCATTTTTTTCTCAAGTCTTTCAGACTTCCTAGTACTAGAAGGGCTCAGAGTTATGTTTTTCTTCAATGATGTTTCTCTGGAAGACCTCCTTAAGCCAGATGTATCTGATGCTCCAGAACCTGAAGTACTTAATCCTTTACTACTAATTTGCCTCCCGTTTGAATTGTTATTCTCATCATCCTTGATTTTCCGACTAGATCGTGTATCATGTGCCATATTTCAACTGTACATCAACAGAAGAATTTTAGGTTAGAATAATACTCATACAGCATGAAGACACCTTGAAAGTTCAATGAAGCAAGACAAAATCAATTTCTATCAACCAATGAATCAATTCTCTGTTTTCTTAGCAAGAGTTTGGGAAAACTGTAAGAAAAAAAAAATCACTCTTTATATATATTTTCAATTTCTAGTACCGAATAAATGAATAGACGAATACTCCTACTCCTCCTAACTCGGAAATAAATTCCACTTAAGTTACATTTTCTCCTAAACATAAAAGAGCCCAGGTTAGCGCCAATTTCTATATTGTGTACTATTGCAATTACCTAATACTCCAATGACAGTACTAGCTCTTCTGGAATTTCAATTCGTTCAGAGGAGAAAGTAGCAGCCCTATTCCAGTCCCTTAAGCTAATAAAATGAAGTTGGCAATGTGCCTTGAATCAAAACAGAAAGCAAGTGAGAAATGGCACAACTTGTTACCATCTATATTCTTGCCTAAATCTCACAACTTGTTATCATTTTTAGAAATGGCACAATGGCTAATGAAAGAGGTCAAAAGCATGCCGTAACATTAAGTGCCATACAAAAACTAAAAAATTAAGCAAGTAGCTAACATTCAGATCCAAACCGTACAATGCCAAAGCTCTGAACCCTAAAACCCCTAATCGCCTGCCACAAATTACACCAATGCAGAAATTCACCACCTCTGACGCATTGATTTGCCATATAATGCCACATAATTTAAACCAAAACCCAAACACTAACACTAACAATTTCAGGTCCGATTTCATCGCAACGATTGGGATCATACAAAGGAAAATTTCTACAAAAATTAGAACAATATCGAGAAATTTTGACTGACCTGCATGAAAATCTTAGTGCTTAATTTTTTTTTCCTACGACAACCAGAGACTGGTAGGGCTTTTACTTCAGTTCTCGAGCGGAAATCATGGGTTGGAAGAAATTTTCACAGAAATATGAGGGGAGGCAAAAAAACTGCTGAGGCGGTGATATTTTTGTTGCGTTTTGATATTCTTGCAGTGTGTGTGCGCCGTAATGCAATGCTTTTTCATGGAGGACAAAACCGTCAATTAAATTTTTTATTTGATAACCATTTTGTCCTTGGGATTTAACTAGAGAAATTTTATTTGCTAAAATTCGTTTTTCAAAATTGACTAGTGTTCCTTCCTATTGTTTGAAGCTAAAGTGGTATATTCTTTGACCAAAAAATTAAATTTGCTATAATGGTCAGTTACCCTATTGAGGTCCATTTCACAAGAATGTAATTCTTGTATGATAAAAACAAAGAAGGCATGATCTATATGTGATTCACAAGAATAATAATATTATTGTATGATAAAAAGGCATGATCCAAGTGTTAATTTAACAAATTTCACTGCTTTTAATAGTGAACCTGAATTCGAAATCATCTCTAGTTAGCAAATTTCATACACTAACCCTAATTCCTAAGAAGAAATATAGAAAAACAATTAAAATCATGGAACATTAGAAGAGGAAAAAGAAGATAAAGTACCGGTCTTTGTAGACTCTAATCAACAAAATAAATTCAGCTAATTAAGACGAAGCGGGAAAATTAATGTTGGCCACAAAAAGAAAAGAGTGTTTATGAAGTGGGTACTTTTGAACCTAATAATATTTAAAATCATAACTAGAAAAATGTTGTTGTGGCTCGATTGCATAATTATGAACCAGTAATAATATTTATGTGACTCTTATTCACTTCTACGCGCAGTTGGATCGTTGGAGGCTCAATCTTTTTTACTTTTATGAGATTTGTTGCATCATGATAGACAATTTTATAGGGACATTTAGATCCAAGTCCAACAACTTGGTTGTTAAGGCATCTACAATTATGCTCTCTATCTTTTAGTTAAAATTCAGTTTAAAACACACATATGCTATTTTAGGGGCTTTATAAAATTTGAACTCCAATCATACTGTAGGAACACATATTTCATCGGCCAATAAGAAAACGACACATGAAAAAGGGATATTCCTTAGGTCAATTAATTACCCCAATTAATTCATATTCAATTAGGGAAATTATCTTTGATTTAGGATAAGAATATCTCCTTAAATCATGAATGGATCATCGACTTAGTGGGTCCCATGCCACCATCACATGCCAAAAATGATATGATGATCTTCGCCACCAACTACTTTACTAAATGGATCGAGGCCGAAACTTTATCATCTGCTAAAGAAACCGACATGGAGCGATTTGTCTGGAAGAACATCATCTGCCGGTTCAGCTGCCCGCAGTTGCTGGTCACCGATAGTGAGTCACAATTTATTGGCAAACAAATCATCACATTCTTTGCAAAGTCAGACATCAAGTAGCACCTATCAACTCTTAGATATCCGAAAGGCAATGACCAATCGAAAGTATCCAACAAGCGTGCTGGACTGCCTAAAGAAAATATTGGAAAGCCCCAAAAGAAAATGGTCAATGAGCTGCCTGGAGTCCTATGAGCTTATCGCACTACCAAAAGAAGATCAACCGGCGAAACCCCATTTTCCTTAGCCTATGAAACTAAAGCAATTATTCCTCCACATATCAATGTTCCATCAATGAGTATTTAGGTAGGCAACATTAATCAGAACCGCGAGTAGATGAAGGTCAACCTTGACCTGCTCGAAGAAGAACGAGAAAAGGCCATTTTTCAAGCAGTAGCTTATCAGCAGTAGTTGATGTCATACTACAACAAGAGAGCTAAAGTGAGATAATTCCAACCTGGGACTTTGTGTTTAGAAAAGCTTTCATTTCAACACAAAGGGAATGATCGTAGAAGATGAAACCCAGTTGGAAACGTCCTTACATGAGACGCATGTCATACAGACTACTGTCCAAAAACGTCATCAGGGAGATGCAAGACAACTACAATAAAACGTTCTCCTGGAGATGCAGGCCAAACATGCCACCATCCAAAAGCAACAAAGGCGTCAACAAGTCACTCAGGTAGTTGAAAAGGCTTAATGAAAATTGAAGTTAAAGAAATAACTGAAGTTTCATACCAAAAGTAACCAGCTGGCCAGAGTTCAACAAAAGAAATATGGTCAACTGAGACCAATTATTACAAAGAGAAAAGCAAGTTATAAATCTTGAAAAGATAAAGGAGTTTTCATTTACTGTAAGATTTCGGCAGATGATCCTTGATCAACGACCTCCTCAACTATCGCCTGATCAACTACGCCCTTCGTGGCTCCCCATGCTCAGCTACATGCTCATCAAATGCAATTGTCTGCTTAGCAGCTCTAGCTACTGCTCCACAACCTCTACCGCCACTACATCAGTTGCGCCTTCCTTAAAATCATCATCCTTAACTACAAGCTCATTAGTCACAGTCTCATCAGCTACCAACTCTTCAACTGCCTCTATGTCCATTACATTGATTTGCTCACCTTGAACAAATAACATATCAGGGCAGAACAACTCGACATCTTTATCTTTAATGGAATGATAAGGAGCGACCCAGCTCTTGTAATCCAAGTAGCCCTGCTTGTATGCATCGATGACGACCTTAGATTTGGATTGTTCAGCAGCTTTGCAATATGCGTCAAACTTAACTAGCATCTTGTCATAACTCTAGGTTATTTCGCATTCTTATGTTCGAGACGAAAGTAGACCTTTTCACTATCATACAGGGCAGCAACAGAAAAGTTAAGTTCAATATCTTTTTTTAACAAGGGAACTCTTCAGCCCACCTAGGCTCTTCTTCATTTCAAACATCTTTGTTTCATGGCGGGTTTGCTCGCCCGAGAGCTTGTTAGTCAAATCAACATTCTTCTTCTCCAACTCATCGAGCTGAGTAGAAGATGAGGCAATAGAAGACGAGCTCCAGATGGCCTCAACAGCAAAAACTACCTATTTTTTATAAAGCAAAGTTATAGCCATTTCCTTTTGTTCATCAGAGGAAATACTCGAGAACGTGTCAAGATCACTAACTTGATGTATATGATCAACAAGCTTGACGTAAATAGATGGGCTTGACAGAAAGTTCGTCTTAAGCAGATGAGGTACACATGCATCCCTGCGGAGCTAGGCTTGTCAACCTTTGGACGAGCTTTTCGTGGATTCGAATGACTCTTCGCTCGAACAGATGACCTTTTAACATTCTTAGCCGTAATCATCCTTGCCTCCAAAAGAGTCAACGATGCTGAATCAGTCCCATGTTTGATTGCTCGTGGCTCGACAAATGGATTGCGATCGCTAAATGGAGAAGCAGTCCTTCCAGTTCAACCTTCATCCCTCTGATACATGCGAGTCGAACTTCTATGAGGAATTTCAGCAGCTCTTTGCTTCTTAGCATGTGAATTAGGCCGGGAGCAGATTTCTTTGTAAAGCATATCGCAGGTTTTGAGCATATCAACTGGAGACTTTAGTAGAATGCCACGAATATTTCGCATGCCACCAATCTTCTTGTTATTCACGCCGACAAGGTGTTTAACCATGGCAAATGATGGAGTAGCTCCGAATTAAGTCTTCTTAGCAAACGAGACCTCTTTGAAAGAATACTTGATAACAACATAAGGAAGTCTCAGTTTCTTTCTTAGCGAAGACACATCTCTTGCTTGCGGTGATGCAGCTTTATCTTTGGAGGACATAGGGGTAGCCTTTCTCTTTTCAGAGAGTTCAATCGAGGACTCATCTAGTTTGGCAGGTTGATCATCTCGAGTCTAGGTCATACTGCTTTTACTTCTCAACATCCTTGGTAGTAGGTAGACCACCAACCTCATTTCGATACTCGCTCAACAACCAGCGTTATTCCTGAAACTTTGTAAGGATGTTTAAGGCCCGATAGACCTTAGCCATGTTTGGTTCGAGAACCAACTTCTTGCTGATATTCTTCTTTCCATAAGACTTCAGTCAGTCACACATTAAGGAATTCAAATAAAACTAAAGCAAATCAACATAGTATGACATACCATCGCAGTGGGTAAGGGGAACAAGTAGACCATCGCCTACCTCACCTTCCCACTTTCTGCTCACCTCCAAGACATTAGCATGCCACAAGTGATCTCCTTGAGTGAAACTGTCAAACAGCTTGGCATTGCATACATGAACTTGAGCATACTTCTTGTAGCGCCTCACCGCGAAGAAGTAAAAGAACTCCTACACAATCAAGCCTAGTTTGAAGAAGCGATTCAAGTTATCGAAGCATATGATTGCCTAGTAGACGTTTAGAGTACATTGGCTTGAGGCACACTCCATGGCACAAAACACCATCCTGAAGAACTTTAACAGCATGGACATGAAGCCCAATGAGAAGTAGAAGGGGCGAAAGGTAAAAATCCTCGAATTCGGATCATTCAGGTCCACGCCAGGCACATCATCAGTTACAAGTTTCACTAGCCTGATATACACGTCATCAGGTATGGCAGGAGCATAGGAGGTGCGCCACTTCTAAAAGTGAGCCTCAATTATGACACGATGCAAATTCACCACAAATCTCTTCTTGTACACCTTGTACCACCCCACAGGTACAAAGGCACTTGTGAACTAGGTAATCGACTACCCTAACAAGAAGAAATGATCGCTTAACTGCTACAAAAAGAAGAAAATTTCAAGTTAAATTGCATAAAAATATGACTTGCGGTACCAAAAAAAGAAGAGTCAACAGCCAACGGTAATTAACAGCAACTGACGACAATAAGCAGTAGTCGACACCACTTACCCAAACCACAGCGTAACCCAGACCGGGGCCAACGTTCCTTGTTGCTTCTTCGAGACGCGATTTCAGTTTCAGTATTTTAGAAAGAAAAAAAAAGGGGGTTGCAATAATAGCCATTGCCAGCAACTGCCGCCATAGCTCCAGCCGTCACATCATGATGACAACCAGCCAGTCAAGCCAATCAGTCCTCACCGCGAAGAAAAATTGAAAGAAAAAAAAAAGTTTTGACCTACTTTGGTATGTACGACAACTCTTCTCCTCGACAAGCAGTACAATATTCTGAAATCTCTCTCTCACAAGCTAAAAAATAGGGGAAACAAGTTTGCAATATGAAAATGAGTGAGGAGAAACCTTGTATTTATAAAGATTGGGCATCCTAGGTCAAGAAGGAAACACAAGCTCATTCCAATTAGGATCCCAACTCCAAGAATAAGTCAAAAGCCTACTCCAATTAGGAGCCCAACTCGCAAAAGGTATTTAACTCACATAAAGAAGCCGAGATGCAGTTGGAATGTCCAATAAATATTTCTCATCTCCTCCATGCCTCACAAGCGCATTGCAGAAGTTGGGGGCATTTGTGGGAACACATATTTCACCGACCAATAAGAAGACGACCTGTGGAAAATGGATATTCCTTAGGTCAACTTATTCCCCTAATTAATTCCTATTTAATTAGGGGAATTATCTTTGATTTAGATGTAATACCCTGAAAAATTAAAGGTGGAAAGCGTTTCATTGAAAATAGTATTATAATGAAGAATGATTATTGGTATTTTATCAAATGATTTTGGATTGAGACTATTGGAGTTAGTGTGTTTAATTCAAGTTGGACAAAAATGCTCTCATGTAACATTTTGTAAATTTTTCAAATGACATTTAAGAAATTGAAGTGAGACCATTATATCTTAAGTAGTACGATACTAGTCGACTCAACGACCATGTAGGAAATTGTTTATGAATTTTCGGCCAAAATGATTAAAATTACCATATTTAAGTGAAAAATTACCAAAATACACTGTAGGCTAAAAAAAAAAAAAAAAAAAAAAAAAAAAAAAAAAAAAAAAAAAAAAAAAAAAACTGGAAACGTGGAGATAACCCACCCTCCTTCCATTCTTTCCCCTTTGCCCCAAGTTTTCAAATCCACAATCATGTTGGAGATGAGTTGGTATAGGTGAGTCATTAGCCTAAGGTGTGAGTTAGACGGCTATTAGGAGTGAATCACCTAGTCTAAGCTAAAGATAATGATGATTACTCTTGGATATTATTTTAAAAGGGGAAGGAGATCGAAGTTGGGTGAGGAAGAGAAGGAAGCATAAGAGGAAAAGGGGGGGGGGGGGGGGGGGGGGGGGGGTGGCTTTTTTTCCATGTGTTTAAATTGATTCTAGTCCCTTGAAGAGCTTTTTGAGTCACTTGAGTGATAGGGAAATTGATTTAGAAGAGTTTTGAATTTCTATTTTCGGATTGGGTGGATTTAGAAGTGTACCCTATGATTTTGGTTTCATTTTGAGTTTTTGATGAGTTCCAATGCTAGATATGAACTTTAGAAGAGTTTTAGAAGCCTTAGGAACAACCTAGAGGGTGATAGAATGGTTGATAACAATTTAGAACCAAATCTGGAAAATTACATTTTTTGGAAATTTTCAGTCTGCGAGTCTCACTTTGGCTTTCTTTTTCTCCCAATCCTTTGAGTGTTTGAGGAAGCCATTTGTTAAGTTTTAAACTAGACTTGGCAAGGAACAAAACACAATTAGTTTTGTCGAATTTGGTTAAGTTGGTTATGTTAAACGCAGCAACAAAAGTTTGAAAAAAAAATATGTATTTTGCAAAAAACCAGCCACAAGACCCACTTTGGAGCTGGTAACTCCTTCATTTTAGCTCCATTTTGAGTGTGGTTTATTGGGTTAGAAACTAGAGGGACTAAGCTTAAAAAAGACTGCAAGTTCTCAATTTTGTTAACTTTTGGTTGGTCAAATTGTTTCACGTCTGGGTTTTAGTTTGGAAAAAAAGGGGGGAAATTTTCAGAATTTTTTTAAAGATGATGAACAATAACCATAGCCAAGCTCACTTGCATCTTCGGCGAGTGACAAAGCGTGGCGACAGTTTTGATAGCCTCCGACGCTATATTTTTAATCCATTCAACTCGATTTCTTGATATGAGTCCAATGATATGTGTTTTAAGTCAATCCAAGGTTGTGCGTTGAAACATATTTTGTTTAAAATATCAGGTGATGTAGGGCCCACAGGACCCAAATGGTGACTTTTGGATAACAAGTGTAGTTGGCCTTGTTTTGGTGTTGACAGGGCATAGGACAAAGTTTTAGATTATTTTGGACAAGATTTGACCGCCTTGGACCCCAGGTTGGTCCAAAGGTCAATTTTGTCATTTTCACGCAGAATGTTTGAAATGCGTAAGGTTGAGGTGTTAAGTTGAGGTTTATTGGTCTTAGGTGAAATAGAGCGAAGACTGCTCAATAATAATTTTAATTTTAATTTTAATTTTAATTTTAATTTGTTCAGGAATTGGATAAAAAATGTAGATTTGACGAATCCGAGAACTTCCAAAGGGTAAATTGGTACTTTAGTTAGCTAGACATGAAGTAGGGTTCCCTGATTTCCCGATGATTGAGCTATATCACTTTTAATATTGGTGCTTATATGTAGTATTATAAATATGAATATTATTGTTGCTTTGCTCGGTGAATATTATTTGATATTTCATGAAATATTATTTGATGTTATGTGAATATTATTATTAGGCCTGGGCTCGGGTTGGGTTGGTTCAGTTTTGGGCCTAACCCGAACACCGAACCGAATCCTTCAGTGTGCTTTTTTCCAACCCAAACCCGAACTACGCAAGTGAAAACCCAAACACTTCAGGTAACCGAACTTTATGGTTCGGTTTGGTTTGGGGTAAATGGGCAGTTTTGTTGATTTCAAATTATGCCCATTTCTTTCATCACAAAACATTAGGGGTGGGCATAAACACCGTCGAACTGGAAAGCCGAACCAAACCAAGCCGAAAAAAAACAGAAAAAATCCGAGTTGACCAAAAAAGTCAAAATTGGACTAGAAATCGAACCGAACCGGTTTGGTTCGGTTCCAGTTTCGATTTTTATCATGAGAAAGTCGATCCGATCCGAATCGGACCGGATATTTAATTCAAATATTTAAGCCCACTATTTTTATAACTTAAGCCCAATATTCTTTATAAAAAATTGAGCCCAATTTTATATCTACCAAAGTCTAAAGCCCAACAATCACCTAACCCAATTAGTAACCCTTACCTACCCCACTTTAATAATAGTTTAATACCAAAAAAGGTTGACTGATCGGTGGTCACATGGGAAAAAGTAGTTGTTTTCATTTTGGAAGCTTGTGAAACATTTCACTTCAACCAAGATGAGATGTTGCATGCGTGTCTTGAAATTTGCACACTCTTTCTGTCTTTTGTCAGGTGCACCATCACTTTTGGTATACCTCGATCTCTCAAAGTTTTTCAAACCTTCATATCTCTCCTCCCTTTCTTCCCTTTTCTCTGTCATCTTTTAACCCTCTTCTCTCACTCTCTCACTGGCCGATTTTGGATAGTCCCCTCTTCGCTCTCTCTCGCTAGCTGATTTTGAATACACCAAGGTGAGGTGACAGAGGCAAGGTAAGGCCACAAAGGCGAAGATGAGGCCACAATAGAGATTGATGAAGATGAGATGGATCAGAGGTGAGGAAGAGGAGGCAACAGTTTTTATTGTGTATTTGTTTCTCTATTGGAAAAAAAAATTGTAAGAAAATAGTTGAACTTAGTTAGAGGGTCCAAACCGAAAAAGCCTGAACCGAACCGAATCTGAATCGATCTGGGTTGGTTCGGATGTTCTTTTAAGGTTTCATAAAAACCAAACCGAACCGGTCCAATGAACAGTGCCAATTTCAGTTTCAAATTTGAATAAGAACCAGTCCAAACCGGACCGTGCCCACCCCTACAAACATGATATTCAACTCAAACCTGGGCAACTAAAAATCATATTTAAGCATATTCCATCTATCTCATACATAGCTAAAAGCTGGGCATCCATTCATCCCCCTAAATATCCATCCCCATAAATATCCATCATCAAATCAAAGGTTCAATCCCATTACAAAGCACCAGTAATATATTCATTCCATTAATATGGCCATAGGTTCAATCCCATTACAAAGCAACAATATATTCATTCCATTAATCTGGCCATTCATCTAGTTCCTATCCACTATGGCAATTACAACTTAATTTGGCCATTCATCTAGCTCCTATCCACTATGGCAATTACAACTTAAAGGCAAAAACATAAGCAGTCAACCCCAATTTTAAATTACAAACAAATAAATGGCTATTTAATATGTTCCATTACATTACAAAAACAAAATATCACCAAAAAAATGTAATAGAACATATTAATGGTCCTTCATCTTGACTGTTGCTGCTGCTGCTACATGACTCAAAGTCTTCAATTTAAGGTAGAGACAAAATGATTGGTAAATATGTTTTCTTTTCCAACCATTTGCAATGTTTCCATTTCTGCCACATTGAAAAACATAAATTAATACAAACAACATTAAAACAAAACCAAATACATGAAAAACAATAAAAGCAAGAAAGCAACCCTTACCTTTCTCCATTTTCTCCAAAGTAATGTAAAATTCCAATTCATCTTCAGTCAGTTCTTTGTTGAAGTTAAAGCCAGCAGCCATTAACCAGTCATTGGTGCATATAAGGGTTTCCACTGTTTTTGGAGTCAAAGAAGCCCGAAAAGGATCGACAACTCTTTTCCCAGCACTAAAGGCAACCTCTGATGGAACACTTGACACAGGGACAACAAAGATATCCTTTGCAACCTTAGATAGGACCGGAAACCTTGGACAGTTTTCTTTCCACCAATCCAGCAAATTAAACCCAGCATTTTTAGGATTCTCGGGAGGCTCCAACAAATATTTATCAACATCATTCCCAATTTGAACCACATGTTTCTCTTTTCTTGATCTCATAAAATTTTCAAGCCTGTCATCACTGTCAACAATACTTTCGAAATTAGCCTCCACATAAGCTTGGGCAGCAACTGGATCTTCTTTCTTGTACGCCTCGTACAACTTCATTACAAGATCCTTTACCCCACTTATCATCTCATTAACTTTGGAAGCATCCTCTTCCAAATCACCAAAGCTAAGGTGGACGTAATCCACTTTGTAACGGGGATCAAGAACTACAACCACTATTAAGAGTTGGTTTACTTCCCTAATATTACCCCAATACTTGTCATACTTGGATTTCATTGAAATGTCCACCTTTTTCATAAAAGGATCCTCACTTATCATCATTTTCTTCAAGAGATCAACAATAGAGCATATTTCATGAAAGGCTACATGGGAAGTTACCGTCTCATAAGCACTAAGCTTCAAGGTAGCCACATAAAACCTTTTTAAGAACTTCACAAAAGCCTTTGCATATTCCCAATCCACTACACTTGGGGGACTCAATTTTGTTCCTAAACTCCTTGCTTTGCAAGCCTTTTTTTTTTTTTTTTTTTTTTTTTTTTTTTTTTTTTTTTTTTTTTTTGCGTGGGCCTTACACCCCACGTGTCTAAGGTGTGTTCTCTTTCCAAAGGTAAGATGCAAAGTTTGAGTCCTCCTCTCTCCAACCTCTCAAAACCTTTTTGCAATTTTAAGGCAGCCTCTAACATGCCATAGGTTGAATTCCACCTTGTTTTACACTCCAAAGGTAAAAGACCTTTGATATCAATCTTTTGCAACATCAAACATTGCCTAAACTTGTCCAATCGAGATGGTGAGGATCTTGTATACATACAAGCTTTCATAATACTCTTGATTGAATCATTCAACTCACACAACCCATCAAACACAATCAAATTAGTGATGTGAGCACAACACCTCATATGTAAAAAGTCCCCATTCAACAAAAGAGTGCCTCATTGGCCCAATTGCCTCTTCATATGCCTAATAGCACCATCATTAGCGGTTGCATTGTTAAGTGTGATAGTGAATACTTTTTCTATGCCCCAATCACTCAAACACTTTTCTACAAGTCTCCCAATGGCATCACCCTTATGATTTGTAATTTGACAAAAGTTTAAGATCTTTTTGTGCAAATTTCAGCCATCATCAATAAAATGGGCTATGAGAACCATATAATTCACATTTTGTAGTGAAGTCCAAGTGTCCATGTTCAGAGAGACTCTTTGTGAATTTTGAGATATGACACTCTTGAGTTTTGCCTTTTCTTCTTGAAAGAGAGACCAAACATCTCTAGCAATGGTCCTACGAGAAGGTGGATCAAATCTAGGTTGTAGCTCTTTCACAAAAAAGTTAAACCCAATCCCTTCCACATGCCTAAAAGGATGCTCATCAATTATTATCATCTTCACACAAGCAAGTCTACTTCTCTCTGTGCTATATGTATGTGAAACTAAGCCTCCCTTATCAAATGAAAGAACCTTTTGTTTGTTGTCCTCTTTCAATGGAGAACCCCCCGTGCATTGAACTTTCAAATGTTGTAATAATGTAGATGTGTCATTTCTTACCGGATCACATGCATAAGATTGATGACAATAATTGCAAGAAGCTCTAGGTCCTATATCACACCCCGGTTCAACCGTGTCCTTAGTAAAATGCTTCCAAACCTCCAATGGTTTCCTAATGGGTATTCTCTTCTTAGGAATTGAGGGAAGTGTAGATGTTCCCCCTTGAACTAATGGCTCAGTGGTAGCAGTGGTAGCAGTGGTAGGTATAGGACTAGGACTTTCATTTGGGTTGGTGAGAGATGTGTTAATGACAGGAGTTTGAGAACTTCTTTCCATACTTTGTATTTTCAAGCCTATAGACAGATTTACACAATAAAAAGATTCATAAACACAAGAAAAATACATACACAGATTTTCAATTTTTCCTACATACATTGAAAACAAAACAAAAAATAGCATAGAGAATAGTAGAGAAAGTAAGAGGAAAATAATATCAAACTTGTGATAACTCAGATTACAGGTTTATATTAATCATTATAAACAGATAATTGAACTATGTTATTACTCATATTTGTACATTAATTACATATGCAAAAGAAGTTGGGATGGTTTTCAAACATATATTTGTTATTTCTAATTGGTTAATAGTAATCTTGAAGAAATGTAAGAGGATTTGTATTTTGGGACCACAAAAATATATTATAAAAAAAATATATATATAATGCTATTGTTAAAAAAGTCTAACATTATCCTACAGGACAGAGGTCCCAAACAAAAGCCAAACCCCACCTTCCCTTTCTCTACTCTACTCTCTCTCTCTCTCTCTCTCTCTCTCTCTCTCTCTCTCTCTCTATATATATATATATATATATTAAAAAGGTGAAGCAGCAGCACGAATAGAATATGCAAGAGTAAAAAATTATGGAACTGATCCCATAAAGGCCTACCACAAGCCTGATGCATGAATGAGAGCAGAAGAGCAAAGCAAATTTTCCTTTCGGGGTAAAGCAGCGTATAAAAAAGGGCTGGCCCGTCATTATATATAATTTTTGTTTTCTTCTTCTATTGGATGAGTGGTAAGTGAGTTTTGTTGGGTTTCAATTTCTAGATCTATGGCTCCTCTCAATTTCTCCAAAAGTTCTCCTAAAAATGGTATTGGTTTTTAACACTTACTTTTTCTTACCTTTTCCTACAGTAGTTTAGCAAAATCAAAGGGAAATCCAAGTATGACAATACACGCACACAAATATGCCAAAAAGAGTGTAAATAAAGAAATTACCTTTTTTGAGCAGATTGCAGTTGGTGTTGGTGAGTGAGATCCAGTCTAAAGTTGCTGAGAGAGTTTGATTCGATGAGAGATGAGAGATGAGATCAAAATCAAAGGGTTTTAAAAATGGAGAGCTGGCGACGGAGAGTTGGGCGATGAGACGGAGCTTGCGACGAAGACATGGGTGCGACGAAGAAGAAAGCTCGCATAAGCTGAACTGCTGGGATATTTGTTTAGTTGGGGAGTATCCAGTGGTGGAGGGTGTATGGGAAATGTAATAACCCCCCAACGAATAACTTACACGTGTATATTAAAATAAATATTAAAATATAATTAAACTAATCGGGTTGGGTTGGGTAAACCGTGGATTTAGTTTTTAGGCCCCGATAACCAAACCATAAGCATCGGGTTGGTTTGGGTCCAGAAACCGAATATCCAAAAACAAAACAAAAACCAAACCAACTCGACTCGATCGGTTCTGTTCGGGGGGGTTGGCCGGGTTTCGGGTCCAAATGCCCAGCCCTAATTATTATTAATGTTTCTCCGTTGATATTATTAGATGTTGGGTAAATATTATTATTTATGTGATTAAACTTGAAATATTATTGTTATTATCTTTATTATTATTCCGCAGAGATAAATGATGTTTGAGCTACATTACATATGCATCATAAATACAGTTGTGTTTTGGATTTGTGTTTGGGTCCAGGTATATCTAAAGGGTGGGAGAAGGCCTTAGATGTATCTAGAAAAAAAGAAGTGGAATATATTCAAGTGACGGGAGTAGGGCTTGAATATATTAAGGTAATGAAAGCAAGGCCTCTAATGAAAAGTGAAAGTTGAGAAATTCATGAACAAAATAGAAATGGGGGAAGAGACAGATGGGCGCTAGTTTATATTTTAGGGTATTTGGAGCCACAGTGATAAAATGCATGGTATGGGACATGCAGGCTTGGTGCCCTAAAGTATGAATTAGTGGGATTGGAGTCACTGCATATGCAAATTTATTTATCTGGTCTGGTTGCATAATTTATGTATCTTGTATTATTTAATGCATGACACTTTGATTAATTGTGATAGCTGACCTTGAGGGGTTTGACAGTACTCTACTAGGCATTAGAATTCTCATACCCTAATAGATTATGCAGGATTCAAAGCAAAGTTTGAGGAAGCAAGTTTCAACCAAGCTACTAGGCTTTTGTTGTTGATTTGTGTAATATTTGTAAGTAGTCAACCGTTTGATAAGAATCTTAGTGTGTATTTAACTACGAGCTACTGCGACTTTGATTCTGTGTTTTAAAGTAAATTTATATTATTTGTGGCTCTATTTCTCATCATATCATGGTTGTAGAATTTTATTCTTATGACTATAGTATGACTCACACCCTGATTCGAGAATATTCCTTATTCTAGAATCGGGTCGTGACATTAGAATAGGAATATCTCCCTAAATCAAAGAACCAATTTCCAGCAAATCTCTGTGATTAATTTCTATCATCTTTTTTAGTATGAATAATCCTAACCAAATAAGGATTATTCTCCCAAACCATAACCTAAAAGAAGCACTATAAATACATGGCAACACAAGAAATTCAAGGTAACTCGAAAAACCCTCGCTAATTGTTGCCGAAATTCTATATATATATATATATATATCTCTCTCTCTCTCTTTCTCCCCCTCTCCCTTGTCGTCCCTCTCTCCCCCTCACTCTCTCTCTCACATGGCTCCGGCCACCCGGCTATCCCGTGTGAGAAAACTCCGACTACTTTAGCTATTGTCGTATCTTTTCAAGATCCAATTGAACTAACTTAGGCATCAGAGGGTCTTCGCCCACCCCCCCCCACCCCCCCCCCCCCCCCCCCCCCCGCCCCGCCCCTGCTCCATGCTTACTTCAATTTATTTTTGCAGGGATCGAGGAAGAAGAGAGATAAGAAAAATCGAAGATCGAGGAATCAACCTGCAAATATTCTCTCATGAGAATTTTGCTCAAACACGTACTACCTAGTTAAAAAAAAAAAAAAAAAAAAAAAAAAAAAAAAAAAAAAAACTTTCATGTACGGGGATAGCAGGGATGGTGTTTGCACTATTTCCGATTTCCAATAACACAATGACACGTGGAAAAAGAAAAGGGCTCCCTATAATTTAAAGGCAAATGATGTTACCACTTTTCACGCCAAAATTCAGTTTTCCTCTTCAGTCATTCGTTGCCTGTCTGGACAATTATCTTCTTGTGTCACTGCTGAAGAGCAATCCGTTCTTAGGTTTTGTCGATGAAACAAAAGCTTGCCCCCGATGAACTACATGTTGAATGGCAAACACGAGACAAGATCTTCAGTTATTGAGTTGTATTAATTCCGCGCTCACTCCTAAGCATTTCAATGAAGAAAGCAAAATTGGTTTTCTAGTCTAGCGATGGTTGATAAATTATGTTGGAAGTTATGATCAAGCAAATGAGATTTGAGACCAGCTAGGTAAACTGATCTACATTTAATATTAAAAAAAATCAACCACATTATCAGTCACCTGCTACTTGCCTTAATAAGAACCCAGAAAATGCTAGCCACGAGTTGGTGTTGCAAGTTGGTTCATATTTATAGGGACATTTGTGTGACAGAAAATTGGAGGGCAAAACTTTCTAATATCGAACTTTTGTCTGGATTTGTGAATCAAAACCAGTTACTTTTTGCTTGATATATGCCCAGCCACTGCAACAATGTAACAAGTTCATTTAGCCCTCGACAATTTCTATCATCACAATTCTAAAATGCCTGCTCAGGAAAATTTTCAGTACAAACTACAGATTTACATTTTTACATTACAACCATTAGAACAGAAGGCATACAGCTACAAACTCCTAGCAGCCAGTCAAGCGTTACAACTTATGCCTATGCTTATACCATGTCACAACCCCGCTTCATAACCATGAGCACCAAGTATACATATCCTATAACCGGTTAGTCATCGTCCGATAAATAAACTACGTCGGTGGATCTACCTGTGCGTACTGGGTTGACATGTGCACCACCTGTAATCGCAGGATCAGAAAGGTGCAAGTGGTCAAGGGTTGAACCCAAATTTGGCATTGAGGGCAAACTACCAGATGGATTAGCACCAAATCGACCGTTTATATCCATAATTAAAGGCAGTGCATATACACTAAGAGCTGGCAAGCCCCCTGCATTTTCAGGATGATGGGTCCTAGTATAAGGAACATATTGTTGCATGGGGGCTGGAAGTCGTGGAATATGAGGAAGTGACACAGACGATGCATGAGACTTGCTACGTGACTGCCAATTTGGCATGGATGTTGAAGGTCTAAAAGGTTGGAGATGTGGATTTGACATGGATGTTGAAGGTCTAAAAGGTTGGAAATGTGGGGCTGGGGCACAAATCTCACCTCCACCTTCAGGGATTCCTGTGGAAGAGGGGAAACTAATGTGGGGCGGTCTTGCTGGAATGCTCGGAAATGGAGCAGGCAACTGCATAGGTGGAGCTGTACAATGTGGATTGGTTGCAGGTGCAAGAGGGGTCGCCTGCAGGCTGGGTAAGGATGCAATAGAAGTTTGCAGGCTAGCTGCAGGAGGGCTGGCCAGAGATGAACTGGCAACTGGAGAATGTATATGTTGATTTTGCTGTATAGATAGCTGGTCCAGATACTGGAAGAAAATGAAATTCTCATCTGCCAGGGAAATAACAGTAAGGAGCATAAGTGCAATGACAAAATGTAAGCATAGAAAGAAACCCAAAATGTATGAATGCACAAATCGGTGTAATTGATATAAAGCATATACATAGTGTGTATTGATTAGCTGCCTGCTATAAGACTTTATAACATGCAAGAGGATCAAGACATTTGTACACATGTTTTATAACCATCTTATATTAATAGTTGTTACTTAGGTTTCAAAGAAGTAATGCCATATCTCTCATTGCACTTCATGATGAAAATAGCCAATGATAATCTTTCTTCTACGAAAAATGAAAATACATCCAAACTACATCTTCAGCTTATGAAAGAAAGAATAAAAAAAGGGAAAACAACTTAAAAGGTGCAACTCAAAAGTTTCATACCTTGCTGTGGTCCAGATGCACTTGATGCCCTAGTATAATCCATGTATTTAGTCCAAACCAAGGACAAAATCTTATTCCTCAAAACCATGTTGCGAATTGCATCCGATTCCTTCTTTTTTAGGTCAAATTCTGCATCAGTCTCCTGAAATCTAATCTCATACTTGCGACGAATGTCAGCAATGGCCTCCTCTATCTCCTTATCACAATCAGATTTCAGACGCAGCTTCTGTTCAAGACAAAAAGGTCTTCAGAAGAGTTTTTTTTGTTAAAAAAAAAATAAATGGAAAGATATTAACTTCGAAACTGACCATATCTTCATGAGACTTATGGATTTGGTCTGCTTCTTTATCCAACTTTTCCAGTTCATTCTGAAGAGGGTCAGGGGACAAAGGCAGAGGCATCTGAGATGCCCCACGGGGTGCAGAAGGTATGGGATGAGTATTATATGAAGACGTAACAGATGTAGCCCTTGTGTCGTGAAAAAGCATTCCAAATCCACTAGTAGGTATATCAACAGGCTGCTGTAAGGAAAAACATGTCATAGGCCGCAAAATAGTTTGATCTGAAAGATCAGGAAGGTTCCCAGCAATTCGCATTGGAGCCTGAGCAACTTGGTTAAAGGTATGATCTTCACTAATTGGCTGAATGTTAATACCAGCAACTGAAAATAACTCAGGAGAACTATGGTCAAGTGTATTAGAAGATGGCAGCACTGGCACTTGTACAACAGGCTCATTGTCCGGCACATCATGATCAGAATGATTGTATGATACCATAGCAACTGATGTGGATACTGGATTTTCGACTGGTTGGCTGGTATCCTGCAGTTCGCTGGCCTGTGGATCTCCACATTGCACTGCAGTCAATGTGGCTAAAAGCGTACCTTTTTGTTGGTGTGCCTGGACAGGTGAGAATGTGTCAGTTACTGAACGCTCAATCACTTTCTTCTTCTGTCTTTATTTTCTTGATGTAGAATTAATTTTGTTAAAAATCTTGAATACCATCTCCTCATAACATGGAGAAAGAACCAAGACAAAACTCACAGGACAATTAAAATATAATTTTCTGTTGTACGCGTTAACAACCATAGTAATGTTAAAAATTTAACCCCGTCATAATTCTTAGGATAATATAAACAAAATAGTGCAGGCAATGTCCTCATACAAGTACACTGTCATTTTTGTTGCACGAGAATAATGATCAAAA